AGTTTCAAAATAGAAATAGATACCAATAAAATTACATTAATTGAGGCATCAGTAGAGTAAATATTCAAAAATATTTACATAAAATTTGTATTTTAAGATAAAGCTGTCCAACTCTGATGAAACCATTATTCTAACCTTCTTCAATGTAAATGTGCTTACATATCCTTCCAAGAATAATAAAGGGAGTAAAATAATAAATGTCATAAAAATAATAATAGAGTAAAATAATGGAAATGTAATCACAGTAATGAGAGAGTAAAATAATAAATGTAATAATAACAATAATAAATAGAGTAAAATAATAAATGTTATAATAACAATAAAGTGTAAAATAATAAATGTTATAATAACAATAAAGAGTAAAATAATAAATGTAATAATAATAATAAATAGAGTAAAATAATAAATGTAATAACAACAATAATAAATAGAGTAAAATAATAAATGTTATATAACAATAAAGAGTAAAAAAATAAATGTAATAACAATAATAATCAATAGTGTAAAAGAATGTTATAATAAGAATAAAGAGTAAAATAATACATGTAATAATAATAATAAATAGAGTAAAAGAATAAATGTTATAATAAGAATAAAGAGTAAAATAATAAATGTAATAATAATAATAAATAGAGTAAAAGAATAAATGTTATAATAATAAAGAGTAAAAGAATAAATGTAATAATAATAATAATAAATAGAGTAAAATAATAAATGTTATAATAATAAAGAGTAAAAGAATAAATGTAATAACAACAATAATAAATAGAGTAAAAGAATAAATGTTATAATAACAATAGAGTAAATAAATGTAATAATATTAATAAATAGAGTAAAAGAATAAATGTTATAATAATAAAGAGTAAAATAATAAATGTAATAATAATAATAAATAGAGTAAAAGAATAAATGTTATAATAACAATAAAGAGTAAATAAATGTAATAATAATAAATAAAATAATAAATGTTATAATAATAAAGAGTAAAATAGTAAATGTAATAATAATAATAATAAATAGAATAAAAGAATAAATGTTATAATAACAATAAAGAATAAAATAATAAATGTAATAATAACAATAATAAATAGAGTAAAAGAATAAATGTTATAATACCAATAAAGAGTAAAATAATGTAACAACAACAATAATAAATAGTGTAAAATAATAAATGTAATAATAACAATAAAGCGTAAAATAATAAATGTTATAATAACAATAAAGAGTAAAATAATAAATGTTATAATAATAATAAATAGAGTAAAATAATAAATGTTATAATAATAAAGAGTAAAATAATACATGTAATAATAATAATAAATAGAGTAAAATAATAAATGAAATAAAAATTATACTAATAATAGAGTAAAATAGTAAATAACATTGACTCAAGTATAAGCCGAGGGGAAATTTTTCAGCCTAAAAAGGGGGCTGAAAAACTAGGCTTATACTAGATTATATACAGTAATCCAGTTCAAAGCAGATAACATGAAGACGCAACAATAAGAACCGACCACAGGACAACAGATTGGTTCAAGATTGGGAAATAAAATAAATATAATAATAAAATAAAACTTTATTTATATCCCGCCACCATCTCCCCAAGGGACTCGGAGCGGCTTACATGAGGCCAAGCCCAACAACACATCACAACAGAAAAGCGATAACAACAATACAAAGCAATGCAAAATAATATATATCACATATAACAATAGCACTCAGGATTTAAAAACTTATGGCCAGGCCAGATGTAATGATTTAAAATTTATAAAATAAGGCTGGGTATGGCAAGATAGGATATATCTCGTAGGGGGGGTTTAAAAAGTGAGGGATTTGAAATGTGAGGGGTACAATCCAACGCAACCCAATGGTTAAAGTGCATTTGTAAGGACATTTTGCTGGGAGTTGTTCCTTTATTCCGGGAAGGCACACTGGAATAGCCACATTTTCAGGCTCCTTTTAAAGACTGCCAAAGTTGGGGCATGTCTGATGTCCTTGGGAAGTGAATTCCAGAGTTGGGGGCCACCACCGAGTAGGCCCTCTCCCTCGTCCCCACCAATCGAGCCTGCAAGGGAGGCGGGAGCGCGAGCAGGGCCTCTCCAGATGATTGAAGAGATCGTGTGGGTTCGTACACAGAAATGCAGTCACGTAGATAGGCGGGTCCCAAACCATTTAGGGCCTGCACCTTGAATTGGGACCAGAAGATGAACGGCAGCCAATGAAGCTCCTTAAACAGGGGGGTTGACTGCTCCCTGTAAGTCGCACCAGTTAGTAACTTGGCTGTCACCCATTGTACCAAATGAAATTTCTGGGCTGTTTCCAAGGGCAGCCCCACGTAGAGTGCATTACAGTAATCCAATCTGGAAGTGACTAAGGCATATGACAGGGCTGTCTACTCTTCCCTGACCTATTCAACTTGTGTGCAGAACACATCATGCAACATGTTGGGCTTGATGAAGCCAAGGCTGGAGTTAAAATTGCTAGACGAAAACGTTAAAAACCTTAGATATGTAGATGATATCACTTTGATGGCTGAAAGCGAGGAGTAGCGGAGGAGCCTGATAACCAAAGGGAAAGAAGAAAGTGCAAAAGCTGGGTTGCAGTTTAAAAACAAACTAACAAGAGGCTTGGGATGGAAAAGCAATTCTATTAGGGCTGGAATACAGTCGTGACAGGCCTTAACCAACACCTTAACCAACTGATGTCCTGATTTAAATTAGACGTCAACACTTGCCATTTGCAGTGGACTGTCTTGAGTTCAATGGAAGCTTTCTGCCCCATTTCAGTCTGTGTGTTAGCTCAAAAATATCCATCCATCTGCCCCTGACCTAACGCTTTTGTCAATTTTTTAAATACAATGCAGCCCCTGTGCCCAAAAGTTTGCCCATGTCTGATACATATACATAATGTATGATATATAATATAATATATGAATGTTTCTTTAAACTCCATGATAAACTTTTGCTTCAAAAGGGCTCCGCAGCTGAAAAGGTTGGAGAACCCTTGCTATAGAGGACTGAAAATATAAGTACCTTTTCATGCTGTCTACTTGATAATATACTTTAAATAATATACTTTATTTATATTCTGCTCTATCTCCCTGAGGTGACTCAGAGCAGATTACAGAATACATATATAGCAAACGTTCAATTCCATTAACAACAAAGACAGACAGTACCCAGACAGAGGCAAGGCTTCCCTCTTTCCACCTCTGGCATCTGGAGGCTGTGCTTGACTCCGGCTTGTTCCATTTTCCATGTCAAGGAGTCTGTTGTCCATGGACACCTTCCTGAATTGCTGAATTGCTGGCATGTCTGCATGGTGTTTTTTACCTATTGATCTACTGA